GACGACGTTATGAAAAATGTATAAAGCTTGAAGGAGGATATATTGAAAACTCCAATATATGAAAAAACTGTTCCAGTTACCGTTTAATTTATTTATGTTGTTGGTAAGTATTCTAAAATTAAAAACACGTTTTAAACTTTTGATTTGTTGATTTTAATTAAACTATACACAACTCCATGAAACGATTACAATCAATGTAACTTCGTAGCTGAGTATGCGAAGTATTATTTCATTGAATGATTACTTCATCTTTTCTGTAAAGTTCATAGACTTTCATACAGGGTCAGTCAAAAAATCATGGATTTGGAAATTTGTCATCCTTTAACCTAGCACCATTTATGAGATATTGGGCTGAAACTTGGAACCTAGATGTTGCAAATATGCCCAAATTGAATGGGGTATCCACTTTTCCGATAAAAAAATGCCTCCGAATTTCTGTCGAAGTCGGCAGCATTATTCTCGCTGCTTCTCGCGCGCTCCTAGCTACGTCACATTTGGTTTATGGTCGGCCGTCGTTATTTTCTTTTGAGCGTGATTTACAACAGTATGAATAAAGGTTACTCAGGTAGCATAGAAAAATAGAAACGTTAGAGAATTGAACCATACCATACCAGTCTTTATACCTAATGAATCAGAGCATCAGACTTTGTCATCAACCACCACAACAAAGATCCGGCCGACCATATCAACGATCTATCAATATCCTCGAATATTTCAGGTGTTTAACAACGAGTATTGAAAGAACTCTCATTTGAAGATCCAGATAACAACGCAATTGGTGTAATTTTTTTTTGGAGTTTTCCATTTCCTAGAGATTGGTTGCACTTCAGTTGCTTTCTTTTTAAATGAATATTACTGGAGTTTTTTCCCAACACAAACCGTTATTTTTAACACCTCGACACTGTTTTTTCCCAACACAAACCGTTATTTTAACACCTCGACACGTGTTTCAATCACCAAGTGATCATATTCAAAAGAAAGATCAAACTTCTTCTTGAAGATGATCACTTGGTGATCGAAACACGTGTCGAGTTGGTAAAATAACGGTTTGCTGTTGGGAAAATAGTTATAAAGCAGTTTACAAGAAAAGTATTAGATCGATGCATAAAACGATTTTTGAGAGCTGTCAAAATGTTGAAATCTGGCTAATTCCACCATATGGTGGAATTATATATTTGAAAAAAAAACAATCTGAAAGTTTCAACGTCTCATCTGGACTCACAATTTGTATGATCTTTGATGAAGGTCTAATGATGAAGGTCTAATGAGCCATAAAGAGAGACGATTCAATAACTAAAATTGCGAAATAGTTTTTTAGAAATCATAGATACATCTGGTCATCCCCATACTGCTCATTACCTTACCGAATTGGTTATTAATTCAATAAATGTGCAAGAATATATTTTACTGTGTTATTAGTGAAATGACTGATGACGCAGGTAACATGGTGAATATGAAGAAAAAAATTTAGAATTATTAAATCATCCTATAATTACATACCTTGTTTGCTCTCTAAAGTTTTGAAAGATCATATTGTACAAGTTGTTTGATGATGGAATACACTTTCAATTTATTTCGAAAATTTTTTGTCAATAATGAGTAACCAATGTTAATAATGTACAAAATCAAAAAAAAAAGAAACTGATTCAGTAATTTTCAAGATCGTATTATAAGGACTTCTGAAGAGTTTTCAAATTTATAAAAATACTGCAACACTTGACGAAGTAGGTCCATTAGAAATGTGCATGTTTATCTGCTGCACTAAAATTGAAGGCTATTTATGCAACTTCTTCATAAAAAAGAAGTTTGCATGAATATACACGAAACAAAGAAGAATATTCAATAGTTGCTGAAAAAAGAACAGCTCTATATAATAAGGTTTACAAAATGAAAATCGTGTAAAATATAAATAACGCTCTTAAATCGAGGGAAGAAAAAAAAGATCATCATTCATAACTTCCATCATCAAAAATATATTTAAATCTAATATTCAGTATACATATCTATCTATATAATGATGAATAAATATGTTGAAATGAATGTATGTCTGTCAAATCTGAACGACAACTCTCAGGAGGATTAATGAGGTCTTATCCCTCATAGTGTTTCTTTTTTCACACTGGTGATCGTCATAGTGTCATGTCTATTTCACCGGATATATTTCACCGTACGACCCCTGTTAAGCTAGCAGAACCAAACCACGGGAAAAAACATTTTGTTAGATCAGGCTACGTCATAATTTTAGGCTCCGATTGATTGTATCGCCGATTATGTACGTTCTATTTTTTTAAATCAGAGAGATCTGTTACCTTCACCTTTGACACAACCAAATACTTCACTTTTTGGAAACTTTTAAATTGCTCCCCCGTTATGATATTGAGCTTTATTTTGCTCCTAATTTGCATTGACTATTTGGGTGATTACCTCAGACACAAGCGACAAGAACGAAAATAATTTTTCGGAAACATTCTTCAATTATGGGTGGGAATAAAATATAATGAGAATTGAAGGCTTCTTTTAGGCTTCTATTACTCCCATCGCCTATTTTCCATCTGTTAATTTTAATAACCCAGTGGGTTCTGCTAGCTTTACCGTTGAGTTAGCGAAACCAAAAGGAAGTCATTCACTTTTTGAAAATTTTTTCCGAATGCGTAACGTGAGTGTTACGAAAAGTGTGATCGGACGAGGCGAACGGAAGTTGACAGGGAGGTATAAGTTGGTAAAGATAGAAAAGAAGAGATATACGTTTTATATATTACTATAAGGTACTACAGTAATAGCCTACTCGTGCATAAATGTGTGCGAGTACACATTTACGGACGAGTACTGAAAAATTAGAAGGAAACTATCATACGTTGCCACTAATTTTAGCAGAAGATTTCAATGTTAATTTCGCGACCGAAGATGGACAATTATTGGTGAACTTTTTACAAGATAAATTAGAGACTACAAATCACTGCATCGTACAAAACAAAGTCGCTTTTCGCTCTCTTTCCCCATGTATGCTTAGATTTTCAAAACTACGCAACAAATTTTAATGCGGGTTTTTTAATAGATAGAGTGATTCAATTAGGTTTATATGTATGTAACATGCATAATGTACTAGAGAAACAATGATAATTTAAGACGTTTCTAATGTGATATCGTAAATGAACAAATTTTTTGCGCTTAAATTGCAAACGCTCGATGAACCTTACGAGATCAAAATAATGTACAACAGTATTGTACACCTTAAAAAGGTCTACAAAAAAGTCCGTCATGGTACAATAAACGAAGCGATTTTAAGCAATACAACAGTAATCCTCATCCAATTAAGTACCTTATAAACATTGTGCATTTAATATAGATCAATGCGACCTTTTACATCATGTGATTTGAATGAATGTTTACAAAGATATGACAGATTTAAACCGCACGGACATAGCGGTTGCGGCGGTACCGGCCGGGGACAGGCGGCGCGTGCCTATGACTAGCGCGTCAAAGGCCGCGTTTCGCTTTATAGCACTTCATGATTCGTACGAGTTAACATGTCTAGTAGCGAATCGCCCCGGCTCCGCACGGGTGCAATGCAGATACTAAATATACATATGAATGCATGAGATCGTTGCTAATCATAACGTGCTCTAGGGCGAAGCGCGGCCTTCGACGAGCTATTTACAGGCACGCGCCGCCGGCATTCCGGCCGGTACCGCCGCAACCAATGCTGTAAAGGACCATATTGATACATATATTACATGCAAAATGTATCTGAGGTACTTAAGTGGATAAGGATTAATGTTGTATTGCTTAATTTTACTTCGTACACAAGCCATTAATTTTCGAGGATAAATAATGGTTATCGTGGGTTATGTCCAAGAGATAGACATATACCATCGCGAACTATTTTGTAAATCGTTTTAATGTGTACAAATACTGTAGTACATTTTTTGATCTATCTCATAGAGATAGATGACATCCCATCAGAAACCTCTAAAATTATCAGTGTTTCTCTACTATATTATGCATGTTTTATACTTGTTACCTTTCTCTTAAATCACTCTATCGGTAGCCACGCGGTTCGACGTGGGTGCTTTGTTCACTCACTCGACTTCACTGCCGTGTTGGTCGGTGGTTCAAGCTCTAGTCTGAACAATCGATTTTCACTTGCTATCGTCCAATCCGTGTTAGGAATCACATGTCAAACAGATCTATTTAATGAAACTCGCATCAAAATCCAATGTGAAGTTTTAAAGATCTAAGCATACATAGGAACAGGCAGCGGGAAGCAACTTTGTTTTATACTATATAGTGATTTAGTATCAGCATTGCACCCATGCGAAGCCGGAGGGGGTCGCTATTGAATAATAACCGAAATGGGCCTACTACAGGACATGGAATAATTATCATTTCATAACACCAAGTGTTCTATACGCCAATAGTTTGAAAAAAGGACAGAAGGTGAGAGTGTCGATCTGTCAATTCATCTGAACTCGTTAGTCAAGATGGCGGCAAATTTTATCTTCCGCTTGATATGGAGCTTGGCTATATTAAATGTGCCGTGTTCACGTGGCAACAGTGTAAAGTAGAGTACGATATTTGCTTTAAATTAATATTCCGTTTTTCTTTCAAACAGGTGATAGTGAGAACGACAATAACTGATAAAGCTATATGGTTGCTTCAAGGCTCATATTCAATTCAAACATGTTTGTTGATAAAACAATAACGATAATTCCAACGAAAAATTATTATTAGTTAGGTATATATAGTGGAAATGCTTGTTTACTTACGGGTAAACTTTGGAGAAACATTTCATAAATATAAAAAACCAAGAAAGTACGTAAGTTGTTGGAATTTCTTCTTCTTATTGGTTTTGTAAATATATGAAGTACCTTGTCTGTTCATAGTGAAGTAAACATTAGAATCTGGGACAAATTAATTAGCTGGTTTCAGGTTTACAATCCGGATGAATTTCATTATCTCTTATTAGGTAAGCTACTCATTACTTGTATCATAATCCTCACCAGTTTGCTCAAGATGAATCTGAAGAATAAGAATCCAATGCCATTACGAAGACACTAAACATAACAATAAGTTTACTGTTCACAAAACACATTGCACCACAAGACTATTATTGGGAACAGGTGTATAATACCTATGGGGGTTGACAAAAGCCACGCATAATAGGTAACAAAGGGCGAAATAAATAGATAATCCCAAAACAGAAGCACAGGTAGGTAGACGCTTGAGCCCCTCGTCACACGATTCGAGCCGACTAACAGTTACAAGGAAGGAGAGACCAAGAATCAAGTTGACGGTCGGTCAGGTTAGACACCTGAGACTATTCAAGAGATGGAAGGGGGCACATACACAGTAGTAGTGGGTCTACTACAGCAGCGGTGGCGTATTCAACTGTTTCTATGTTAGACCGCCGAGCCGAGAGAATTTTTGTTCCCGCAACCACAGGCTCCTCAGCCAATCAAGGTCATCGCTGGTAGTTGATAGTGGTTAGGTGGTGACTTAACTAAATCAGGTGGTTTTTTATTCACATGGATTTTTTATTGACGTATATGTCGGAATAAATATGATACAATAGGTCGTATGAATCACAGAAGCTTTCAAATAGATATGATGAATTACCCGTAAATTTCTTTGGGATTGATTGGGCTATCAAAAATTCAAAATTCTATTGTTTATAAAGCCTCGAATTTCTCGTTTAAATTGAAAGATGTATATTTTTAGGAAATGTTAAGTTTAGGAAGGGTTTTTGCTTTCTACTTCTTCATCTTCATACAAAAAATGTGAGAAGCTTCCAAAGAAAGGAAGAAAGCAATTAATTTCGAATGAAATCTTCACAAAGATGTGTAGATCCTGCAAAGAAGTAACTTTCAGACACAAACTGGAAGAAAAAGCCCTATCGAACTAGTTTCATATAAACATTGAATTATACACTTCTTCCTATTCAGTTTTTACTCCAAATATTCGTTATGGAATTCAATCATATATCATTCAGGATAGCTACACAATATAGTACAGAAAAGAGGTGAAATTTCACTATCGTGTTCCATCCAGTGGCGGATATTGATGTTTCGGAATTAAGACATTTGCTCTTCAGCACCAATCTGGATAACATTACAGAATGAGACACTCAATTCATTCATATTTGATTTAATCCCAGACATATGAATCTTGATTGAATTGAAAGAAGTATTTTTAAAAGGGATTAATTTTTGGGAAAGAAAGGTTTTTAGCTTTATACTTCTTCATCTTTATGCAAAAGATGTGGGAAACTTCTAAAGAAAGAAAGAAAAAAAGCAATGAATTTCATATACTCTCTTTACAATAGGAAAACCTAGGTATATCTACATAATCCAATATTCTTATGAAAGGAGTTGTATCGAAAATATGTTTTCTGTGGTATAATTCAATGTTTATAATGAAGTGTTTGTTTCAAGTTTGTTCCAGTTTGTGAACCTTTCTTTCCCAAATTCTCAATTTCTGTTTTCATATCTGCCTGATTAGCAATCCTCTGGAGTCTTTCAAGGAATAGGTAGGAACATTGGATTTTATCATCAAAGTAACCAAAAATTCTGAAAATATTTCTGGTTGCCTTAAAAATAATGTATATATAGTATGCGGCATACGTATGGAAACAACGTTCCCAATAATATACCAGGTCATATGAATGACCTGGTATATCATTACCAAATTTGAAATGAGGCTAACATCAAAATGGAGTTAAATTCAGCCATACCAATTTGACGAACTCTCATCAGGAAACATTACCAACTGTTATGGTTCAAATGGATCACCCTGTATATTATTCTTTTAATATGAACATACTCAGTCTATTTATACCTTCAAACTATTATTATTACCTGCAATCACATCAGTGTTATCATACTCGTATGTGATGGAATCAGCTGATGGAATCTCACAAAAACATATTTCTTGAATATATTTAGTGTTATTATTTCATTTGGGCCTCAACATTTTCATTGACGAGATAGAAATCTAATTGAAACAGACAAAATAATTTATTATCACGAAACATGTTCATTTGTTAAAATCATATACTATCAAATTCTCACTTCAAGTTCAATTCCAATCCTTTATATTTCACACCACATCAAAACGACTACTCACATACTCACTTCACAAGTGAGTATGTGACGCGCATAAATGCCTTTTATAGCTTAGAAATGGTGTATTTTTACCATACAGCACCATAGAGTATGAATAAATTATTATTTCTCTGATCTGGTTCTTCAAAACTCCAATTTCATTCAACATCCAATAATAGAAAACTGAAACACAAACCTACATCAGTGAAACAAACATAATAACAGTACTCTCCAACATCTACTTTGAATGACAGAATATGACTCAGTATTGCCAAACCAATAGAAAATACCTGTGAAAATACCAATAACCATATATTCAAAATTGCATACAATTGGCAACACTTCAACGTCAACAATTCAGTGTCTCCAAATGTCACCTTAGTAGCTCCCAAAGATAAGAAAAATAGAGGCTCTCAAAATATTTCAGATAATTATTCAAATCTAAAGCAAATGGAACTTCAAACGTTATTCAAGTCGAAAAAATATGAAATTATATTCTTAAATGTTTTCAACAATCAGCAATATCTGTTTATTTTGCCGAATTGACGATATGAAGAAGATTTAGTCAACGGTGGACAGCTTTCACAGTTGAAAACTGTGATAGATATCAAAATTGTATAGAAGAATATCAGGAATTGTCTCGAAGGATCTGATTTGTTCATCTTGCCGAGTTGGCGATATGAAGAAGATTTAGTCGATAACTACACCAGAAGCAGTTTCATTAACCATCAGTGGTACAATAAAAAAAGTAGATATTTTATTATTTGGAAATGGTGCCTTCAATGAGAACTACAAGTTTTTGTTTTTCTACTGCTTGGGAGCCGTCTGACTTGTTCATTTCTCCCAAGTTTCCGGAAAACACTGCAGCCTCATCGGCTCATTGCGTTTTTCTTCCATCTTCCCCATTTCAACGATCATGTTTTCTGTACTAGTTTATACAGGTCCCTTGCTGGATGTATGCCATATTCTTTTGAACGTAATTTGGGGTGTCCAGTTTGTCTCCAGTGATTCAGTATCTCACATGCGCATAAAATAAAACGAGCTGTCATGACCTCTAAAAATCTATGGTAGATCTGCGTGTTGGTAGTGTTCATATATGGTAATGGAAGTCTCTGGAAGCCAGAACAATTGCGAAGCGCAAGTCGAGTTGAGTGCGATCTTGGCCAAGTACAATCGATTTACGACAACCAGCGGCAGCCAGCGTTGTTTTTCCTGGAAATTATCTACAACACTACTCCCGTCCCTGAGGTGGTTTGCCCCGAACTGTCCTGAAGAGGAATGCTCCGATGCCTGTTCTCTCATGGTTGCGGACCATGTAGAGAAGGGGATCCGAACTCCTGGTGAATACATTCTGTCATGTAGACTCTCCAAACTCCCTGTCCATTTAGTTATATACTCCAAACGAGTAGGCTAAGAATGGAAAGGCAAGCATATTTGTAGCAGCAATTTTGTTCTTTCCTGACGATTCCGATGACCAGATCTGTCGGAGTTTGTGTTGATACTTGTCGCGGAGAGAGTACTTCAAGAGCTGTTACCTTGAGAGTGGCGTTGTTCAACTTCGAGGTAGATATACGTCTCTTCGGCATCCAGATGGTGCAGAATGCTTTCATCTACGAGGTGACATGAAGAATATCTACCCACAAACAATCGAAAATAGGCCAGGTTGGTGTGCCCACATTGGAAATAATCAACCAGTTCCCTCATTGACCGCAACGAGGCAGATGGATTCACGTGTGAAAACACAGGGTAATTGCTTAACCGTTATGATGGATACCAAATTATACACGCAGAATTTTGAAGATATTCTTCAGAAGAGGTGATACACAAATATTGCACTAGATCTTTCTAGAAAGGTCTGGTCTGGTCTTCAAGGTTTGATACATATCAACATCACCGCACCGCACCACAGCAAGCTCCCTTAGGTAAATAAAATACTCAAGATTCACAAGAAAAATGTTCCATTTAGACTAGAGAAAGTCAGCAACCAACTTATCAAGATTCCTACCTCCAATCAACTGTTACAAAGATAGAATGTAAGGCACTCCAAAAAATACAATTACCGAAAAGAATGTGACAAGTTCTACGTCGGTGAAACCAGAGTATATTAGCGGTCAGGAGAAAGCAGCGAATCCACAAAATCGAGGTAAAATATGGTTTTGAAATGGAGTTTGAAGAAGCTGCATATATTTTGAACAAATATCTATTCAGCCAGCTTGTGTGGAGATTCGCAACGTACAGAAACCTCTAATTGAAAAAAACACAGGCCACAGTGCATTGAACCGGAAAAATGAAAGAAAAGATGGGAAAGGGAAATAAGAATAGGACGATTTCAGTTTGAATTCAAAGAAGTTTATTTTTAGGAGAGATTAGTTTTTGGTGAAAAATGTTTTAGGCTTTCTACTTATTCATCTTCATGCTATCTTTTAGTTTGTTTTTCCTAATTTTCCTAAAAGAGTTACTTCTGGAGACTCAATATTGGTCATGTATACAAACACAAAAAACCCTTATATGGAAAAAGTTTACAATATCAACTAGGTTTACTCGAGATCAACCGTACATACAAATTTCAGGTCCAGTTATTCTATGAAACTACAATTTGGAATCTATGAAATAACATAACGTTCCTGATAAGATAATAAAAAATTGTTCATAAAATGTTCCTCATTAACTTTGCTGATAAAATTCTGTTCGAGAACAACTCTATATTTTTAGGAAAAGTTTCCCATTAACGTAATTTGGGGTGTCCAGTTTGTCTCCAGTGATTCAGTATCTCACATGCGCATAAAATAAAACGAGCTGTCATGACCTCTAAAAATCTATGGAACCGAAATTGGGTTCGGAGTTGGGCTTCCCTCACTTGAGCGTAATCTCCGTTGATTCAATACAGGGTGGTGAAAAATACAGTTTTTTCGTTTGCTTGAAAAAGTGCGAAACTTCACTAGTTAGGTATACACATGATATACTTAGAAAGAAAGCAAGTTTTAACAGCTTTATGAATTTGTAATGATATACAGGGTGTTCCATTTGCTTTATCAAGCAAACGAAAATACTGTATTTTTTTACCATCCTGTAGATTACGCTGGAGTGTGCGAAGCCTCCAAATATCACCAAACTTCATATGAATTTCGGTATTATAGTATTTCTTAACTCAAAGAAAAGAAATTGAAGTAATTCATATTTTGAAAACGGTAATAGATAGGTAAAGGAAAATATCAAAAAAAGTTGTCGACTAATTGTTGTAGATTCCATAAATATATACAGGGTGTTCCATTTGAAAAATCAAAGTTGC